CTTGACTTCAGCTGTTGCTCTGAGCTACAACTAAGGCTATGGTCTCTAGCAGTGGACTCATTATGCACACAAGGTAAGTCTAGAACAGTACACCAGATATGAATGCCCCAAAAGTGAAAGCAGGGCAACAAATTGATACCTAAATATTTCTCAGTTGAGTGAAAATTAGAAATAAATACTTACTTTTCAGTTCAAAACCAGGGAATACAGCCGTTTTAAAATTGCTTAGTCCAAATTAGCCTTTTACCACCAGCCTTGTTCTGCAGGTACTACTAGCTTATTGTGACATAACAATAAACAACTGAATGATCAAGAGAATGTTATGGATTACTCAGTCAATATGCTTCATGGTTCTTATAAAGTCCAGAAAGTTAGGCCCTCTAAATTTTTCTGTTTCATTTTCTTGTTATCCATTATATCCAAGGTTCCAATTTCAGTGATACTCTCTTTTCAAATGAATATACAATATTTCTGTTTGCCTTTATTTTACGTCTTTTAGAAGACAATTAATAACAAGCAAATGCTTTTACATGCTACCCATAGCAAAGGATCAGTTTTTAAAAACTGTGTAAACAGATCTGATATACTAAATACTATGATTTTCTGAACAGATATTAGCTCAGAAATAACATCAATTGTTCATACAGTGAAAAAGAATTTAGAATAAAGGTTTTGAACTTCTTTGATTTTATAATGTAAAACTGTAGTGCCTAAATAAGAATAGGAATACTGAGATTCCACTAGAAAATTAATTCATTTATTGATTAATAAAAATAACTGTATTCTGGGTTTGCAATTTTCCAGTAAAAGAGTATTACAAATTTGAAAAATCAAACTGTTTCCATGAAGCTGAAAGAATAGTTAGCTGGAGGGTCAGTATTCATTTAAAGGGAAAAATTTTTGCTTGTAATACATGCTCACATTTAAACCTTAAACTACTTAATGAGAGCAATATACATTTGAAGATACTCAGAGTCTCATTCCCAGGCTATAGTGTCTAGTGCCTCAGAGGCTGCCAGGAGGATTTGAAGCACTGAACTGAAGGCAGGTCTTCTGCGTCATGCTTCTTTCCTATAGTACTTTCTTTTGCTCACATATTCCTTCCAGCTCTTATCTTTCTATCTCCTTCATTGGAGCCTGTTCTTGGTCTTGGATTGCCTCAAAACAACTTAGGAACCCTTGGACCTTCCAAGGATGGAGAACGTGGATACAAATCCTGGAAGGTCACTGCCTCTTGGCAGGCTTTTTGCTGCAGGAAGACAGCCTTTCACTGCTGCCTCCTCTCTCATCAATGTTTGAATATGCTGTAGTTTCTCCAGAGAAAACTTCAGGTTACTTGGGTATAGGTACTACTGTCAAATTTACCACCTTCCTTAGTTAGGTTTTAGAATCCAAAATATAATTTCAAAGTTTGGTGTTCTAGGTTTAATGCAGCAATTATATCCTTAACAGACAGTTTTTTCAGGTGCTGAACAGTTTGTCAGGGGTGAGGTGGTGATGGTATCTAGTGTCTCAGCTAGTCTCTGTTTCTGTTCCATGTTCAATTGGGATACTTTATTACATGATCAGTGATTGACACTGCATGTAAAGCAGAGGAAGACACAATTTCTGCCATTAAGGCACGGAAGAAGAGACAGAATGAAATAGATGTCATGAAGTATTTACATGAGTTGAGCTTCTTTATTTGTGGCTAGGGATTGCTTTTCATTTCACAAGACAGAGGAAAAAGTCAAACATAGTTTTTCACCTATTTTTTTCCTCTTTCTGGTTGTCCTGTCTTGCATAATACTTAGTTTCTAAAATTAAATTGGCATAAATAAAGATTTTTCAATTACTAAATGTTGTTCCTTATTGTGTCAGGATTTTCTTGGGCTGCTTTTAAAATAACTTTATTAGCTTGGAAGAAAATGCAGAGTTTTGAATTTAATAATATTTTGTGGAAATGGTTTAAAATTGCATAATGGTTATAAGTCTTTATAGGAGACAAAGACAATATAGTACATGTGCAGATTGCAGGCAGCATAATGAGATAGGAAGAATTTCAGAAAATTAATCTAAAGTGAAGAATGCATGAGAGAAGCTCATATTCCTGAGTCTGTCAATAACTTTGTGCAAAAGTCATAAAAAGAAAAACTGGAAAATCTTTATTACTTACATGAAGTTAGGAATGTGTGGCAGTGAAGCTGTAGACAAATGAAGAAAATTGTGACCATGCTACTCTTATTGAATCGCAGAAATAAATTTTGACTATGGGGTGCATCTGGCTTCCTTTCATGCCAACAGAAATTAGCCACTGATACCCAGGAGAATTAAATGGGACCTGCCTGATACAGTTTGTTTTGACTATTTATTCAGTACTTTTTAATGAAGCAACTAAATTAGGCGTAACTTGCTATAGCTCTAATGAACATATTGCAAGTTATGAAAATGATAAAACTATGTAGTCTTAAATACTGTCTTAGAAGATTGTGCTTGGAAAGGTGCTAATGTAAGTGAATATTCTGAAAATCAATTCCTCACTGTTATTTTGCAGTGAAAATATAATAGCAATAATATAGCTCTTTAGCCATAGAATATTAGTTTATATTTTGAAGTAAAACAAATTATTTTTTGTACTTAAACTATATTTGTCTGATGTTTTCTAAACTTCTCTGAATCACTCACCTGAAATGAGAAAAACCCGAAAAGGCTGTCTTTGAAACCTAGGATAACTAACATCTTTGAAGAATAGTGGGCTAAACTGTACTACTCAGTTTATTTAACTATTGAAAGTATGTGTTCAGTTTTTAAATAATATCTAAATTTCTGTATGACTTCAGATCATGTGGCTTTCTTGTGTGTTGTGTACCTGCTTCAACATATAACAGCTTCAAGCAGCCTTGTATTTTTAAATACAGTATTTGTAATTTGTCTGACTCTCACTGAAGCTCACCCATGTTTATAACATGTCTAATTCTTTCACCACCATTACTAGTACTTATTAGACAATATTTAATCATAAATATTTTAAAAAATGAAATTTTACAACTTGCCCTAGCTAGTGAAATGTTCTCAGACATCATTGTACATATATTATATTGGAACAAGAAAGATGAATAAACTAAAAATCTACCAAGGCTTCTGAAAATGGTAAATAAATAAAAATTGCCACTTGATATGGTAGTGAGAAATGTAAATTAATTCCAGAGCCCAAATTATGTGGGTTTTGTAGGAAAAAAAGAAAAAGAAAAAGAAGAAAAAGAGAAAGAGAAAAAAAGCTTTTTGTCAAAATCAAGCTAAGAATGAATAATGAAATTTTTTTTCTCCATTGTCAAAAGCACCACACAAATCCCATATAAAGATGACCCAGAACTCACTGTAATAGTGTAAGGTATTTTGAATGCACAGCACAGCAAGTAGATAGCTTGTTATTTACCTAATAAAGTTTTGATTGGTGTTAAGATGCACCTTGAAAACAAATAAATCTAAAAATCATTTTGGCATAATCAAGAACAAGATGTCTTAACAATATGAAAAGAGAGTGCATGCCTCCTCTTGAAATCCAACTGTCTTTTGTTCCTGCTGCTAGGTGAATATCCAGCAGGGAAAGAAAATGTTCTGGTTCCAATACAACAAGTAGATGGAATCTTTGCTGTCTCTCTTAGCTGCTTTTGTAAGAGCCATAAGCACTATTCACTAAATTTCATATTAGATACCAGATAAATGATACCTATTATGAGATGAGACTTCCTAACACGCTTTGCAAAGTGATGAGTAAGAGTTGTTTTATTGCAATTACCTCAGAAACTTTTGAACAGGAGGAACAGATTGAAGAGATGGTTTGTGGGAAAATCCATAGAAGAGAATCCTGGAGGCAAGCCTAACTGCCACCAGCCACATCTGCTAAAATCCCAATTAAAAAGAAAACATGCCACTGTAAATTCCATGTCTTGTGAAGTGAAAAGATGGAGAGCACGTAACTGTTACTGAAAGGTGTGCTGATATAAGTAGACTAAAAGCCAAGTAATTGGTAAAAGTTTCTGGATGAGGTCCTAACAACTTTGCATGCAGTATATAAATTGCATAAATACAGTAGTGAGGAATACAAATACAATCTAATATCTTAGGAATTAAGAATTTTCTTTTTTTTTAACTGACCCTGTGTTCACTACAGTGAATACAGTCAAAATTCACCATGGTCAAGTAAATCTAGACATTTGCAATACTGGCAGAGTTGATTCTTTCATTTCTTTTTCAGTTGCAATTCAAACAGGTGTTTAAAACAGGCTAATCACACGAACTTGCTTCCTCTAAACCCTGTAACCTTGTTCCCCAAGAATAAAGCTTTGCCACTTTGCACTTACAGTGGGCACTTCACTTTGTATCTTTCCTAGAATAAGTCTTAAGACAGCAAAAGACATCATACCTATGACCTCTTGCAAAAGAGACCTAATAGAACTCAGTCTGATAATTCATGTAGGAACAAATAAATCCATTTTGGTATGTCCAATTTAATTAAACAGTTTGAACTATGTATCCCATTTTGATTTATGATCTCGATACAGTAACTTTGTTACTATATACATTTTAGTTAAAGCCGAGGCTTTTTTTTTTTTTCATTTTAGGCTTAGAGCTAGGAATTGTAAACCTTGGTAATAGGGACCTGTTTTTAGGATGTGTTACTGAGTTTCGATTGTGTTCCATGATCTATCACACAGGAAAAAAACCAAAACAAAACAATAATTGAAAAGATTCCATACTCTTTTTGTTTGTTTGGGTGTTTTTTGTTGCCTTTTTTGTTTCTTTTGTTTCTTTGGGGGGGTTGTTTGTTTGGGTTTTTTGTTTTTTGGGGGACAAACATCAGTTTGTCTATCAGTTAATCAGGGCGAGAGTTGTGAGTCGTGACAATCCTGCTGGCCGCAGAAACACACCGGTTTCTGCAGAACCTTCTGCTAGTCTTACACCGGAAAACAAATTGCTTTCGACGTCCAGATTCCCTCTTTAATGAGAAAATGACTCACCACCAAACTTTCCCATTCCCGTCGGAAAATGAAGTTTTCCGATGAGGGTCACACCGTGGTGACCGAGCGCCTTCGCCTTTCTCCCCGCAGACACCGCGTCCTCACTAACAACGCCACAACGGGGTGATTCTCTGCGCCCGCTGCCTTCCTCCACAAGCTCCAGAGCTCTGCACGCCGGTCCCATCCTTGCCCCACCACGCCCAGCCTCGCTTGCCGGGCAGGACCGGCCGGCGCTCCCGGGGCGAGCGCAAGTTGCGGCGCGGACCCCGCGCAGCCGGGCCGGGTCGGGCCGGGCGGCGGCACCCGGGGCCACCCGCGGCGGCGGAGCCGGCGGGCCGCGGCGATTGGCGGCGGCGCTGACAGCGGGCGGGGCGGCGGCGGCGGCACCGCCCACCCCCAGCTATAAGCCTCTTTGCCGCTTTCTCACTGGATCTCATTTTCGCTCCGTGCGTTGCTGTGGCTGCGCAGTGGAAATCCGCACCGGGGAGCTGCTGAGGGGCGCCGTTGTCATGTGAAAGCGCACATGCTCTGCCATCCACGCGGCACCCCCCTCTCTTCTGCCTCCGCGTGTTTTTCCTGTTTTTTTCTAACGTAACTCCTTTCCTCCTCCTCCGCTCCTGCTCAGCCCCTCGCCGCCGCTCGGCCGCCAGGCGCCCCCGCAGAGGCTGAGCCGCGGGCAGTCGCGGGGCGGCCGCCCCGGAGCAGCGCGCCCGGCGGCGGGGAGCCCGCGGAGCCGCGCCCCGCGGAGCCGCCCCGGAGGTATGGTTTTCCCGGCGGAGCGGAGCTGCGGCCGCTGCCACCTTCGCGGGTGTTGAGACGGGATTTGTGCGGTGCCGTTCCTGGGCTCCGAGCTTCATGACTGCGCGGAGCGGGGAACCAACACCATGCGAGGTAAGCGGGCCGGCGAGCGGCTGTCTTTTGGGAAAGCTGCTGGTGAACGGGCGGGAGAAGAGGGTTCGTACTAGGGAAGAGGGTCCGAAGGAGAAAGTTGAGGGATCGTGCGTGCCCGCCCGCCGGCGTGGCTACTTAGGGTTTGATTCCTGCGCCCGCGGGGGCCGCAACCCAGACCGAGGAGGCTCCGGGCGGATGGTGGGCGACGCCCCTCGCGTAGCTGTCCCGGGGAGCCCGGCGCCGCCCTGGCCCGGGGCAGAAGGGCCGGCAGGAGGGAGTCTCGGCGGTTTGGCCGTGTCTGTGCTGTGAGGTCCCCACCTGCAGCTGCCCGCGGGGCGCGGCAGGTGTCCCATACGGCGGAACCCGCTGCCGCTTGGTCCCGGGTCGTTGCCAGCACGGAGAGGGGCTCCCCTTTTCTCCCCGAAAGTTACGTCGACTTTGTTCCCCAACCGGCACGTCGGCTGGAGGCCCCCATTCCTCATGGGTTGCTAAGTGGGCGACAAGAGTTGCGCTGCCCGGGAACCCCTTCCCAGTGCCCGCAGGTCTCTTCGGGTCCTGAGCCTGTCCTGCCTGCGCAGCCCGATCGTGGAGGGCGGGAGGGATTCCTCCGGGGCTTGCAGCCGCACTCGGTGAGGGTCCCGCCGGAGAACAGAATATCGCCACCGACGGGACACCCTCAGGCATGGAGAGCTGCCGTGTCCGGTGGGGATGGAGAGAGGCTGCGTGCTGGCACGCCGGGCACCCGGGTGGGTGTGTAGGGCTGCGGAGGACATGGGAATGCGTTGTTTCCCTGTCTCCCAAGACCAAACTCCCCTGGGCCCCATCCCCGGGCTGGACGAACACCAGCACCGGGGCAAGAACAACCCTTGCCAGCCTCGGGCGTCCGCGGGGTTTACGCAGCTCCTCCGCCCCCATCTTCCACCTTGCCCTGTATCACCCAGTTTGGTAGGGCGGTTGCTTACCTCACCCCATGGCATGGTAAAAGGTAGTCTCTACCAGGGTATTCGAACGGAGGAGAAGGGCTTATGGGGAGTGGGACGCGCTGGGGGTTGACAACTGCACTGCATGCAGATTTCTTGATCTTCTGTTTAGGGATGGGACACACACACACGTACTGCAAAGAACTTGTAGCTAGAATTTCAGCTTATTTGGTGTCATCTCCTGTAACAGCATGTGTTAGCAGCACTAACAAATCACACGTGTGTAATTGACTTTAAAAGAATTGTAGCTATGACATTGGCACAGATCGATTTTAAAAGACCTTCTTTTCCCCCAGCCTTCTTTTGTTAGGGTGTTGGTTGTGGGGCATCTGGCAAGAACTTGCTAAACGGTGTTTGTTTTTCTTAAGAGCAACAGGAAACAAAGGAAAACACTTAATTCTGTAAAGTGGCCCCTGTTGCAGCTTTGCAGCTTGGGTTGGAGATTTTCTATTTGTTTGATTATGGGGTTTGTGTGGGTTTTGGTATTGTTTGTGGTTTTGGTTTGGGTTTTTTCCTTCTTTCTTTTTCTGCGCACCAGAGCGCCTCCAATTTGAGTAAAGCCGGTCATTGTCTCAGGGGCTGTTTTTAAAAACGTGCCCATCCAGTGACCCCTGGTCAGGATCCCCAACTCCCCTTTCTGTGGGCAGCTCATCCTCACAAGCTGTGGCTCCCATGCCTCTCCTCCCCTGCCCTGGGGTGGCCTGTACAAGGGTGATGAGTAATGTCCTCCCTCTCCTCAGACACTTTCCTTCTAAACAAGGCCCGGGGTGGTCTAGCTGTGCTGGGCAGGGAGAGGGAGGCATATCTTGCTGCACATCTGGTTACATCTCCTGCGGGATCTGCCCCAGCTCCTTAACCATCTCTGCCACCCCTTTAGCTGTGCTGTCAGCCAATGTGAAGAGGTGCAGCTCTGCCCCTAGAATGCAAATTAGTATTTGCATTGTATTTATGCTTACTCAATGGAGAATTTACAGGTGGGGAAAAAAAGGCTGGAGGAGAAAAACAAACAGGCAGCTTTCATTCTTATTTATATCATGTGCAAGAGGTCAGTAAAGTGAAGTTTTTGCAACAGGTGTGTGTCAAGGCAAGAGCAGTGCTTCATACCACCTCAATTAAAAAGGAACATTACACATTAATTGAGCATCTGTCTTTGTGGCTTTCCAAATAATGGAAATAAACGAGAGTCACAGTTCACAGATTGTGAGCTCCCATGGACTGATGCTTTTAGAGAGCTGTGAGCCTTCTTGTAAGGCTGTAGTTGTTTTCAACTGTATTTGCAGTTGGTTTGAAGGAGGAAGCGCTCAGTCTTGAGCATGTGGTCTGTTCCCCCGAACTTTCCCAGCTGAGCTGTGATCCTTCCAAGCTGTGGTTGGGGCAGTTGGCACAGAATACCTGGGATATGGGATGTACAGGGGCTACTGTGGTTCATTACTGCTCCACATTGGAGACGGAGGCCAAAAAGTGCCCAAAAATACCTAACCTGGCTATTTTCTGCTGAATCCCCGAGCACCGGAGAGTCACATAGACTGTTAGTTATCCCATCCTGTGGAAGCCAGTTTTTGGCTGTTGTTACCGTCATTGGTCATGTTCCATCCAAAATAATAATTTTCTGCACTTCAAACCTTGATTTCAATTCCATTAAGCATATGTAGCCATACTGAATTATAGCAGAGCAATGTACAGGGCACTGAGCATTTGTTGATATGGTAGGTCCCGATATTTCCCTCTGAATGGAAAATGGGGTTTTTTTGGAGTTGATGACTTTTATACCAGTATTTTATAGAGGCAAACATAGGTGTAAAAGAAATTTACAGTGAGCATTCATCACAGTCTTCCTTCCATCTGTCCCACTCCTGGCAACATCCTGTGAGGGAGTGAAGAACATAGAATGTGTAGTTCAGTATATTTTCTAGAAAAAGAGAACAGAAAATGCACTAAAACGATTGTGCTATTTAACTGAAAAACAAGTCTTATATTTTTCCTTGTAGTTAATTTCTTACTAAAATTATTTGTAAAGTTTAAAGCTATTAAAAGTTAGTTCTGGGTATAATGCAGCTGTTACACAGATGTGGAAGGTTAACTGTGGCAAAAAAAGTGTCAAAATATCTACTTTTACTCTGGGAATATTGTACTCGTACACATACAAAAGTCAATTTTGTGATTGTATCTATTTGAATTGTGAAAGTGACATTAGTACCCAAGTACTTCACTTATTACAAAAGTAATATTTTAACTTTTAGTTGAAAATCTTACTAAAGCTTTTTTTGTTACATCTAAAGAAAAGAACCACCACAACTCCCTGAAGCAAAGTTATTTAAGTGAGTTTTATGTGTAGTTTTTTCTTGTTGGTGTCAGGATGAGCAATAATACATGTTGCATGATGTAGTTACTCCATTTTCTTAGCATGACTGAAATATTTGTAAGAAATTATAAAAGTGCTCAAATTCTACACGCAGTATTTCTAAGCCAGCTTATTAAGTAACGCATATAAAGAGACTGGCTTGCTTAGAGTTCTCCTTAATTGAGTAGATGAGTGCAGGGAATCTTTATAGACTCATTAACTTCAAAGGAAAATTATTTTGCAGTTTATTCCAGGAAAAGTAAATATGTCTCTGTTTGTAATATGTAACATTAGTATTCTAAAATTCATCGATTGCATTGAGTATTTAAGGAAGGACTTAGGACCTTACCCTACCATTGTAAAACCAGTTTGTCCTCACAGTGTAGTGCATCTAGCAACTCCTTAATTGAATAATGTTATTTGACTTCATTGGGACTCCTTGATATGTGATAAAGCACAAGTTTCTGGTGTTAGGTGTTCACAGGTAAAATTTAATAAATGTCAGTAAATGCTTTGAAAATTGTGAGTCAGTAATAAACTGTGTCATGTAATAAAAAATACAGCTGTATATAGTCAATAAACAGTGACACCTCTGCAGAAGGAACAAAAGTAAAAGGGAAAGCATAAGTGCCCATTATTACCTCAGCAATACTTTTACTTTGCATTGGATTGTACTTACATTCCATATGGTATCTTCAATTTATATTAGGGATCAAAGGAGAATATATAATGAAAGTTCATCAGTAGATAACTATATGATTTAATAACAAATAGATATTTTATAAGAATTTTTTCATAATATAATTATTCTTTTAAAGTTACATTTGTTTTTCATAGATGGAAGTCGAGTGACAGTTAATTTAAAAACTGCAAAAATACCATGTGCACTGGCTGAGAATAATTTCTTTTTTGTGGTTGGAAAATATCTGACTTCCACTGTTGGTCTTCTCCAAATCCAGTGGCGAGCTGTAAGTTGCTGTGGTTTTTTTAGACAGTGGAGTAGTAGAGGGCATTTAAATTGTGTATTATGGTTAAAAACTATTTTTGGCATTTAGGAGTGAATCTATCAGGAAAAAAGTGTTCTGAGTAGACAAGAATTCTGGAAGTCATAATTTCTGTTTGAAATGTACTTGTGATAATTTGTGGAAGGTCTTTAGGGCACTATGGGAGGTATGGCTGTATATCATAGTGACGTTTGCATCCATAGAAATGTGGGTAAGGTATACCTTCAACAGTACTGAGTTTTATTAAACAATTTCGGGACCCAGGGTCTGCCATAGTGTGCAGATGGGTTACCTGATAAAGGAAAACAGTTCAAAGGGGTGAAAGATTACCAAGTTATCCAAAAAATTTCTACCACACAAGTGGTGCAGTGAGTTCCCAGAAATTAAGGTCTGCACTGCAAAATTGAAGAATGTGTGCTTTGTAGCTGAAGATGCACACAGGAGTAAATATTGATTGAACTGATCATCTGGTGAATAGAAATGAGCTTTATCAGTAAAGCAGTATAATGGTTATGTTAACTAGCTGTTTTGAAGTCCATACCCTGCCCTTTCAACCCTTGAACCAGTCAGTTTTGCTTTTAAGGAGGAAAATCACAGGTGTTACATTTATGGTAAATTGTGCTAAATATATTAGCTGCTCC